CCCTGTACCCAAAAACTTGAACTATGGAAGATATGTTGCATCCATCCAATTTGCTGCAAACACACAACTGCATATTATTTTCTGATTTTATCGTGCATGACGGTTCGTCTCCCTGGATTTCTGGATCCGTTCGACGGCCACAACTCCTAAATGTTACCCATTCACCATTTTCTGTAAAAATCGAAAGCAATTATTATGACTTTCATGAACGATGACCAAGAAGTTGACAAATATATGTGGAGTCTTGCCCTTCGTGGTATTAGCCAGGGGAGTAGTTGTTTTCTGATGGGTGTCAGCCCATCAACCTACAGTGTAGCCATCTTTGTTCGTTCCCTTATCTTAGCAGAGAAAACATATATAGGTACCCAGCTGATGACCACCTTGTGATCGAAACACGTGTCGAGGTGTTAAAAATAACGATTTGGTGTTGGGAAAAAATTCCAGTAATACTCTTTTGATGAAAATAATGAAATGAATCAACATTGACAGTTTTGAAATAAAATGAAGAGAGGTAACGATATCTTAGACTTAGTGGTACTCACCTTTTTTCACAACTTTTCTACATCTGTTGTGATCAATAGTCAGGTCATTCGCTAACGTTTCGCAATAGGTTAAAGGAAGGGTTGCGTTATTGAAAGGATCAGCACAACTCGGATCAGTATCTGATCTGCAATTCCAGCATCTTAAAGAAAGACCTGGGAAAATTAGATCAAAATGTTCATGGTTATTCTAAATTTGAAATGACGTCGTTAGGTGCATTGAAAATGCTGCAAATTTTGACTTTGGACTCGAAATTTCGACATTAAACTCGAAACTACGATTTTAAATTCAAAATTACGATTTTAAATTCGAAATTACGATTTTAAATTCGAAATTACGACTTTTAACTCGTTCGCCTTTAATCTCGAAATTACAACTGTAAACTCTAAATTACGACTTGGAAATTTCGACTAAGAACTCGAAATTTCGATATTAAACTCGAAATTTCGACTCAAAACTCAAAATTTTGACTTTGATCTCAAAACTTTGACTTAGAACTTTAAATTCATAATTACGACTTTTAACTCAAAATTTCAATATAAACTCGGAATTACGACTTGAAACTTGACTTCCAGTTCGAAATTTCGACTTTTAAATCTGAATTCAAACATTAACCTTGAAATTACGACCTTAAACTCAAAATTTCGACTTGGTATCTCGAAATTTTGACTTAGAACTCGAAATGTCGACAATAAACTCGAAATTACGACTTAAACTAAAAATTTCGACTTTGATTTCAAAATTTTGACTTAGAATTCGAGATAACGACTTTAAACTCGAAATTTTACGACTTTTTTATTGAAATTTCCACTTTAAACTGGGAATTACCACTATTGACTCAAAATGTCAACATAAACTCGCAATTATGACTTCAAACTCGATTGTCAGTTCCAAATTTTGACTTTTTTCTCAAAATTTTGACTTTGATCTCAAAATTTTGAGTTTCAATTCGAGATTTCGCCATTAAACTCGAAACTACGATTTTAAATTCAAAATTACGATTTTAAATTCGAAATTACGATTTTAAATTCGAAATTACGATTTTAAATTAGAAATTACGACTTTTAACATTTTCGCCTTTAATCTCGAAATTGCAACTGTAAACTCTAAATTACGACTTGGAAATTTCGACTTAGAACTCGAAATTTCGATATTAACTCGAAATTTCGACTCAAAACTCAAAATTTCGACTTTTGTCTCAAAACTATGACTTAGAACTCGAGATTACGACTTTTAACTCAAATCAACACGACTTTTTGGTCGAAATTATGACTTTTTCATCGAAATTTCGACTTTAAACTCAGAATTACGACTTCTAACTCAAAATTTCAAAATAAACTCGGAATTTTGACATCAAGCTTGACTTCCAGTTCAAAATTTCGACTTTCAAATCTAAATTCAAACATTAACCTCAAAATGTTGACTCCAGTCCCACATGTTTCAAATGGACAGTGAAATTTAGAAGGACAAGTCATGAGCGAATTTCTCTGCCCAAAGAACACAGTAAAATAAAATGCCAGAGGCAAACCGTACTCATCCGTGTTTAATATAGAACTGGGGTTAATTATTGTCAATAAATCTCACCTACCTTCTTTCAAGAAACAACTCATAATAAAAAATATACCAAAAGTTATCCCAGACTTCATTTTAAATTGTATTAACTCCAATCACTTTATTTGAAGGTGTTCCATATACGACGTAGATCGTATTTATTACGAATGTTGTTGACGATTATGTATGCAAGGTCAGTGAGGCTAGTCACAACAATGATGATTAAAGAGACGAAAGTTAAGTAATAAGTACATTTTTATATTGTAGGTAAATAATTTCACATACCCTTATCAACTCTGTGGGTTTACAAAAGGTAATTTTTTGGGCCCTGCTGACGGAAGCACCAAACTCTTACGAAGTTTCGAAATTGATGAACACTTCAATCTAGCATACCATTGATATAATCTTCATACAGTCATTATTCACTGTGGTTCTGGCGTTGACTCTGGTAATTATTACGTATAGACCAAAGATGAGAAGGACTGGTTCAAGTTTGATGATAGTCGTGTCACATTTTGTTTTATAAGAGAGAGGACATTGTTAGATCAAGATCTTCAGATGATGTGGGGCTTCAGGTTTTTCCGGGTTTTCCTGCAGCTGAGAAAGCAAATGCGCCACTGGAATCAATGAAGTCGCCCTGGAGCGCCAATTAATTTTTGTTGTTGTTTTATAATTTCATAATTTGTATTCATTAGGTGAAAAAAGTCTGTATGGAGAAATGAAACGAGTATTTTATTTGAAAAAATCTTTATATAAAACTAATAAAAAACTACTCTGGACGGATGTAACATAAGTATAACTCATAACTTTTTACAACTTACAATATTCAACATTTCTTTGTTAGCAAATCATCATTTTCTTCAAAATACTGTTAGAGCCAAAAGAAATGCTTAAACAAGAAACGAAGAAAAACATAGATGGACTGAAAAGTTGGTAGGACAACATATAGATGGCGCTACTAGAATTGAATCCATATGATTTTTAGTTGACCCTAACCTTCAAACGACACGTGTACGAATTTCACAGCTGTCGGACTATTAGTTTGTGGGATAGAACATTTTGAGCCAAGCAACTTTTGTTAGTTTGAAGAAAATGGATTAAAAGGAATTGGGATGGGCATGGTATAATATTCCTCGACTATCTTAAAAAGGGAAAAACAATCTACAACGAATATTACGCAGCATTATTGGAGCGTTTGGAGGTCAAAATCTAGCCTCTAGCGACTTTTTCTTGTCCTCAGACCTAGAAAGAATGCTCGTTGGACCGATGAAGAGGTAATCTTTGAATCGTTCATAAAAAAAAATGTTCTCCTTTGAACTTTTCAGACCAACTATTACCCACCAATATGCATTCTTATAAAAAGTCCTGAACCCAACCCAAAAAAAAACCATCAGGTTTTTTCCCCTCGTATACAGTTTCTCAAGAAATATGTATTTGGCTCACAAGTATGTGACCTTTTTTTTGTTTTTTTTTTATAAAATGTTTTATTTTTTTTCAAAATAGTTCGAGTTGGAATTGATACACTTTTACATGCTCTTAAACTTTGGAACAATCATGAAATACAAATCAACTCAAGGAACTAAATTTATAAAAAAGAGAAAGAAGAGGAAAAAAATCACCTTCGTTTCCTCCTGTTCATAAAAGAGGACATATGCCTCATCACCCACAAGCGATTTTTGTGAAATTGGGGACACATGTGAATCGTTGTATTCATGACACGTGCCACTGTATGGGTGTCTGCTGTGTAATGCCCTTTGTGAGTGGTCCCACTGTGATGTGAAAGTGCATATAGATTATAACAACAAGGATCCACACTGTCTGCTGCTTAATTGCTCATATCTAATCCATCTGAAGGAAAGTCAATGGAAACACTCAAAATACCGAAAATTGTTATTGAGGAAAGTTTATCAGAACTAAGAATGACGTTGAAATATGCAATTACATCCAATTACATGAAAACAATCTTAATTTCTTTTTATCTACAATAACAATGCAAATGTATCTGCTTTTTCTCTTCCAGATAACATTGTTCGAGATACAATATCAAAAATTTTCATACAGAACAATTTTCATCCGTATAAACCACAGTATATCCATGCAATAAAACCTGGAGACTCCTATAGACAACTCGAATTTTGTTTTCTTATCCGAGGACAGCTAGAAGACAATATTTTTTTGTCTAGGAAAATTGTCGATTATGTGATTCTCCTGTAACATGAATGGCAACAGGTATGGTACCAGTAAGACGGTGCAACATATCATAGTACGATGAAAGCAAGGCAATACCTTGGAATTAAGGATAATTTATAGATATTCCAATATTTTTTGGCCAGCTAGGTCGCCAGATTTCACCCCATTAATTTTTTCTTCTAGGGTTACTTGAGAGAAAAGGTATATCAACACAGCTCATTCACAAACATAGATCATTTGAAAACAATTATTATGGAAACAATTCAGGGAATAACTTCAATTATAATTAGGAATGTAGTGAGAGAATTTCTTTCTAGAATGGAAACCTGTATTGTAAAAGCAAAATAACGCAACACAGAAGTTAAGAGACGTAAAAGCTATCAAATTTTTAACAAATAAATAGATAACAGATAAAATTTTACGAAATTATCAAAAATATATTTACTTTACTTGGATAAAATTGATATTTTTTGACAAATCTCGTATACGACTGGAAAACTTTAATATCTGATGGTTCCATTTTAGGCTTAAAACCATGCAGAACTTTTTTACGCAACATAACAAATTTTTTTTGGCAAATTGATAAAATTTTTCTATATGGTGCAATCTTGAGCAGACCCCCCTATATATAGAAATTCAAGTGATGAGTATTCTCTACTTCAGAGATATCACAATAAAACATCCCCTATAATGTTTCCAATACTTCAAGGGACATCAAATATGTCAATAAAATGTCTGAAAAATTATCCAAAAAATAAATCTATAGAGGTAAGGCTAGTCAAGTGCATAAATTGTCATAAATTTTGACCTTGAGTTGAAAAACTGGACTCTAGTGGCTGAGTTTGGAACTATATGCCAGCTTACCTGTCAGAAACGCCAACTCCACTAATAACCTCTACGAAGGTCGTAAAATTTGATAACTCTTCAAATCTTTGTCCAATTTTGAAATTTCTGAATGAGATGATCGTTGAAAGTTACTTTTTCTGCGCGAGCTCTGGTGATACGAAAAAGTAAGTTCAAACCATTTGGTGGCTCTACATGCACTTTTGAAAAACCTCTTTGATTAAAATGCTGATAATTTTCGAGGTTGAAGAAAAAAAACCTCACAATGGAAAACAGGAGATTCATAGGTGAAATAAATATCAACCTGGCATCAATGGCTATTTTTCTAAGGCCGTATCACACACTTGTCTTACCTTACCTCACCTGTATCATCTCGACATCAACAATATCCTTCAGAGTATTTTATTGTTCAACACTGTCGGCTCGCCCCCTTTCTTGAAGTTTACTCTTTTTAAAACTAGTAAGTGGTTGAATAATGTTCGAAAATCGTATCAGTAATCTCAAAAATATCAGCTCAAAGCTTTCAAAATGAAGAAAAAAATAGAGCCACAAACAAGCACCGGTGATACTTTCAGTAGGGATGAGGTGTTACATCCATCTTTGGTATTGCATGTACAGTATTCCATGAAGATATTGTAAGTTCCGGTTCGCATCAAGCAGAATCGTTCGTCACCTTCAATGCCTGGCTCTCCAAGATACGCACAACTTCTTATGTATTTCCATACCCCGTTTACTGAAAAGATATACAGTCATTAGTGTTAGACGAGGAAGATCACTAAAGAGATTTCGAAAACGGTGAATGACAGAGCACCACCTAATCAGAGATAATGAACCAAGTAACACCTTAGTGTGATAGTTTTACAAAATAGACTGTAACAGGCATATTTACCTTTCTGACGGATCTTTCTACACATTGTTGGTCTAATATTAGGGAGGTAGTCCAATTCTTTCAGAGTCTTACAATCAGTTATAGCAAAGGTGGTGTTATCAAAAGGATCTGAACATTTTGGATCAGCATCTGAACGGCAATCCCAACACTTGATTGATGAACCTGAAAGCACACGTTGTAAGAGATCCAAGAAGAAAAATTACATTATTGAAACTTGAGGTGATTCACTGAAATGGGCGTAACCTAAGCAAAACATTAATAATGAAGAGTTGATATATTTGTGCATTTGAAAAATCTAACCCTAATGAAATTTCTAAACTTTGAAATTAAAAAAGTGTTCCTAGTCATAGCGACTCTGATAAATTTTATCAAAAGTGATTTGAATTACAAAATTTTTACCTTCTTGCACCAAAATTAGAACGCAAATCAGTCCTATTCCGAACATTAATTTCATATTTACAAACGTTTTAGGATAACTACAGTTTATTACAAATTGTGGCATAAAAATATTTAAATAAACATAAAAATACTTAAACACAAAACAAACAGACAACAGGCTATAAACACTTGTTTGTAACGTCTAATCAAAATGACAAATTAGGCGAGTTCTTTAATTCATCAGAAAATTTCCGATGGGTTGCTTCAACCAACGACATAAAGTTATGTCGATGGCTTCAACCAATAGAAACGAGCTAACTTTTCAAATTTCAATTATATGAATCCACTATAGGACTCATCAGCAATCAGCACAGAAAGGCGACTATAGAACAATAACAAATTGACGAACAAGCATTGAATGAAGAAATTGAATGAGAAAAGTTATAGAGCAGTCAATAATGAACATATATGAAAGAATAGGTCAGGAGAAGCAAAATTTGTTAAAATCTGTTAAAACTCATGACTTTTCAGATTCAGAACCAGATGTTCCAAGTATACCTTTTATTATACAGCTGGGCCTGATTGTTTGTTACAAGTATCAATGGTTTCCCAGATTGTAATGATCAAATGAACAAACCTAGATGGCTTGCACACCCATACTTCTCCAGTATTTCATTCCTAGGATTAGTATTCACTAACCCTGTACCCAAAAACCGGAGTGACAATAATTTTAATATTTGCCCCAGATACAATCATGAGTAATTTTTCATTAGGCTCAAAAATTCAAACTCGATTTCATCATTACTTTATAATGATATATTCAAACCTCAATTTTGACTCCTTCTTTATGGAAGAATAATAAGTATATGTGAAATGAAAATTTTATATCATTTGTTTCCCGTTGGTTATCTCTTTAGGAAACGGAACAGATCCTAATTTTGCTTAGTTGACGTTTGACAGTTGACGGTGACGTTTGACAGTTGACGGTGACGTTTGAGGTTGATCAAAACAATAATATTGATGACAATTTATAATTAGGATACGCCCGTTTGATTCAAGTGAAAAATATTCTGTTTGAGCAACTTTTGCAAATATACTTCAAGAGGGGTTGAAATGATGATAAAAAGTAGTTTATTTGTTTCCTGTTTCATCTTGATATTATCAATTATTAGGATAGGTATGTGTACAACACTCATCATATAAGATCAAAAAATATTTCACTATAATCTATGGCAGGTGAAGCAGTTAGATGTTTTCAATGCGGATCTGATGAGGATGGCCCAAACGATGATAATTGCGGAGCATACAAGAAGTTTGACAAACGAAATCACATTGCAATCGACTGTAACAGTGAAGAGAGTCATATGCCTGGAACATTCTGTATGAAAGTTACTCAGCAAAGCCCCAAAGGATTCATATGTGAGTAAATGTTTTTCATCTCATGAATCTTCAAGAAAACAACTTCATGGTTCCAATTATACCTTATATTATCTTTGTTCCATTTAGTGTATGAAATTCTTGTATTTTTCTATCATACTTATTATTATATTTTTTGCAGGGGACGGCCGGTGGAGACAGGTCATCAGAAGATGTGCTTCCGTTGCTGACACTGGAGTCACAGGAGTTTGTAACTGGGGAGTATATGAGAATGGAATATACTGGGAGGAATGTTATTGTTCGGAAGATGAATGTAATAGTGCCAGCATGACTAGGCTTTCGAAAACTTTTGGATTGAGTTTGGTGTTGTTAGCCACATTGGGATATTTTTTCCAGTAGAATATCTTGGAAAAACGGTTCATGATATTTGACAGGGAAAAACAAATGGACATGTTCAATTCGAGGACCATCAAAAAATTCAATTAGTATTCCCTACTAAGTAGTGGGTACTGCTAAAGTATTAGAATACTATTCAAAACCAAGATAAGGATTTTTTCATCCCGTCGAATATTTTATCAACAACTTATGTTTCTTCAATAGTCATTGTATTTCTGATAATACTGAAGTGCAGAGAATCTCATTTTTATTTTTGTAAATAAGAGTATTATTTGTACATATTCTCTTCTTTTTTATTTTCCAGTCGTTTTCATCAAAAGTCTTGACAATTTTCACTTATCAATTGGCTAAATTTTTGAACCTGAGGCAGGATGTAGGTTGAATGTATCATTACGTTCTTTCATTTTCAAAATAAAGTTTCCAACTGCCAGCAGGCTAAAACTATGTAGAAGAGTATCCGCATGATGTCAGGTTATTCATCAGATCCAGATAACAAATCCAAAAGCATAAAGTGGGAATAATGTTCCGAAGAAACAAAGGAAGCAATTGATTACTATAGTTTTTCCTTTAATTTACTGAATTGTCAGGTGTATTCGACAATCGAGATGTCTGTTATCTGTTAATGATAGTGTTGCTGGAGATCTTTCAGCTAAATAGATTTTGTAAATTTTTTACACACACGTATTTTTGCCTAATTTTCAAATTTGACATTTTGTATTCGTCACCTAGTTTTCCGACTCTTTTATAGATTTCAGAATCGATCTGACTCATTATATCGACCTTCTTTACATAATTTCATCTTCAGTCTGAAAACTGATTTTCCTCCTCAAAAATGACTTTCGTTCAAGGTCTGATTTTGTTTGATATATGTTATACCTTCGAATTAAATTTATATATTTGTGCAGAATTGTTTTGATGCTGCCTTCATGCAGGTTGATTATGCCAACGATTTATTTGTTTTTTCTTGTGGATTTTATGTTTTGATTCTCTCCATTTTAAGACTAAGTATTTTTGATATTTTATCTCACTTTTGTAGATTCTTGAATAAACGAAGTGCCTGTTTCCTTGTAAGCATGGATTACTTTCCATAGATTTAGTTTATGTACTGTAAAGGTTCCGTCCAATAAGAATTGCGAATTCCATTGATCATTGTATTGAAAAGTATAGATCTTGATGTGTATATTTAAGTATTATAGAAATTTTAATAATTTTTTATTATTGTTATTTGCTACTTTTCATAAATAATTAAAAGAATGTTTTTTATTTTCCAGTTTTATTTTCCACGTCCAGATATTTTTCCATCTACAAAATAAACAATCTGCTCATTATATCTTTAAACTCAGCCTGTATTCAATTTTATCTTGAGTTATTTAATTTCTTCTAAATCTATCGACAAACTACTGTTGATGATTTGAACTGATATCGAATTATAAAGAACAGTACCAGAAATTATTAGATTTCAAACTCTCCTAGTTTCTGAATATTTTTAAAAACTCATTATATAATGCCAAAAACAAATTTGATAGAGGTATTCCTGAAAATCGATCTTATTCACCATAATTTCGGTTAAAAAGAAAAACATGGCATAAGCAATGTTGAAAGAAACAACTGTTGATTCTGTATGAATACTGTGTTCATAGTATTCATTGAAAATGACATCTCGGGGATAATTAAATCAGAATCAATCGTGATAAAGAAAGGTGTGCCACAGGGATCCATCCTAGGCCCATTATTATATATACTGTACACAAATGAAATACCAAATGTAGTTAATGAAGATATTGTATTATATGCTGATGATATATCGGTCATTGTAAAAAAAATAACTCTCAGTTGGTTGTGACAAAGACAATAAATGTGCCATATGTATTGAACAATTTCCTCACAGCAAATGACCCACTACTTAATATTGACAAAACTCAAATAATTCATTTTACAAATAGATCCTTGCCAGAGTTATACCTTTGAATATAATAATAAAAATATAAACATATGCAATCAGGTAAAATTTTTGGGACTGTTGAAAATCTACCGAAATCTCTTGCAATGTATTTGAAGTGCTGTACTCTTTGATTTAAAGTTTGAAGAGCACCAACATAGTGAAAATTTGAGTTTTCAATCACTAGGTAGCGCTTGTAAAGACATTTGAATAGCTTCACTGAATCTAGAAGCTAGAACGCTAGAAGGCGTTGGCCTTCTTACGGATATGACCAATGGGCGTGGTCTAATACTTGAAATAGCAAGTTGCTTTCTAGTTGGTGGTTATTTTGAACACTGGGACTATTTCAAGTATTAGATTTCAATATTCGAAAACAGAAATGTTTCCGTGTTTAAAATTGAACTTTCAATTCTGTGAAAGTCTGAAAACGAAAGGTGAAATGAGGTTATGTATCATTATCTTCTTCTTCTTCCTCTATTCGGAGGTGGGAGATATTCAGAAAACAGTAACAAGCAATCACGAAATGGATGTTTCATGATCTGTATCCGTTTTGTGTTCTGTGTATCGAAGCGCGCAGAACCTAGAAATAATTAATTCATGTCATTTGCTATAGATGTCGCCATCTACATGCAATTTCTATCGCCTAAGCATCTTATCCAAATCTACCGGTGAAAATTCATCTACTGCATTTTTTTCAATTTGTGTTGAAAATATACCGAAAAAGTAGAAATCTGCCGCATTCGGTCATCCTGGAGCAAATCCTTGATGTATGTGTCCATGTATGTGCGATGATGTACACCAATTGTCAATGAAGTTGTGAAATTACAAACACATCATTGAAAAATTTTATTGATTGTAGCATGGTAGTCTCTTACTACATGATACACAGGTTCACTAAATCTAGCTTACTGTTAATATAACGTAATCCTAAATATTGTTTTTATTTACATAAAACTTTGTTTTCAGAATAAATGCAGGTGCTTAAACTCTAATTTGAACAAAACAAGTACCTATCAAATAGAGAAGAAAAATGTAGCTTTTATCATGCAAGCACAACTATTGTTAAATGTAAATGAGGTAACTGTTCATACACTTCTGCAAATAATATTTAAAAAGAATTTTCACAAAGATTCTACAAACTAACACCCATTTGTGGAAAATATGATTTTTGTATTCATCCATGTTAAACACAACTCATTCCCCATATTCTTTTTCAATATATACTTTCCTACTGGAAAGTTCTGGTAATAACTAAGGTCGTTTGTGTATGTTCTATTGCAAAAGGAATAACAACTTGCATTGGAAACAACTAATAACAAATAATTGATAATCAATTAGTAACGGAGAAACATAAGTACAGATGTTGCGACGGCTGCTAAAAATAAGTTGGTTCTCAGACCAGTAGCTGAGTTGCATCCGTCATAGTCGCAATACTCGCAAAATCCCAAGTAGAGTCCCTTATTGACGTTCTGCTGACAAGTGCCGACAGAAGCTTCTAAGGGAATCAGTTCACATCGACGAACAATGCTAACATAGTTGTTACCTGAAAAAAAAAAAGATCAGTATCAATCAGGTGGTCTAAAAAATCTGTAAGTTTAAATTTGTATTTACTAAATTGTATTCACAATGAAATGCAGTCTTGGAAATATCATTCCTAATGCTCTTTTCCAGTATTAGCAGTTTTTCAGAAATATCGAACCCATTTTTAATATTTTATGACCCAAGGTATATTTTTCTGAGAAACTTTCAGCAACAAACCTAATTTTTGTGATTTTTTAAAAATAAAACAATAACGGTGGGTTTATGGTAATCATACCTAAGAACTGCAACTATTAATTAGTGAGACTGTAACTAAAAACAGTTCCCGGTAACATTAAAACGCGCAACATTAAAACAATTATTCACCATTTGATATATCAGAATTCGCCGTACACCACCATATCTCTAATATTTAGAAGGCTTCAACATCTTAGGCGACCGTCAATATGGCTTTCGGAAACAGATCAACACACACAATCACACTTCTTTAAAAACAATATATGATGTAGGGGTTCCCCAGGGTTCCGTTTCAGGTCCTCTGTTATATCTGATATACGTGAATGACATTTATAATGAAAGTTGTATAATTTATGTAGACAACACCTGCCTCATAGCTACAGACAGCAACGTAGAGCAAACAGACGTGAAGACCAATGAAGAAATCAAAACATCTGAGGAATGGTTCGCTTCAAATGGATAAGTTTTGAACATGGGGAATACAGCGTTCATAAGATTCAGTCACTCAAATAATAAACTCGACCACAGCTTGTTGCTAAAATCTAACTGCAGATCTATCACTCAGGCACCTTCTACGAAGTTCCTTGGGCTGTATGTGAATGAATGCTGTACATGGACTACCCATATGAATGAAGTGTGAAAAAAACTAGCTCCAAAGTGTTATCTCCTGTATCAACTCAGGAAGAGCGTCGAAAAATCTGTATTGATGATAATATATTTTGTACACTGTCAGTAATGTCATATGAAATCATAGTATGAGGAGTAGCACAGGAGGCCGATAGGGTACACAAACTCCAGAAAAGAGCAGTTAGAGAGGCCAGGAGAGTAAGCTGTAAAAATATATTTGTACAGTGAGTATTTGGGAGACACAGATTTTAACTGATTGTATATTTTATGTATGCATGCATATTTTATTTCTGTTTTATTTCACTTGTTTTTAGATGTTTTTATGTATGATCTGTAATCTGTTTATAAGTTATGTATCTTATTTGTATAATCGAAAACTCGAGTGGACAAACTGTTCCTGACACCTGACTTGTTCTGTATTATGTATGAAACAGTAATAAGAACCAATAACAAATAATTATTCAATATTGAGCCCGTTTACATGTTTCCATGCACTTAGTTACCTCAATAACTATATTAATTAATTTTTATAACTTGCTTCACCAAATCCATGTGCCTTCCCTGACTATAAATTCAGTGGTGACAAAACTACAAGTTGGTATTCGGAGTAAACAAAATTAATTTTAATTCAAATCAAAACTGAAAACACTATAATCTACCTCGAATTCATCTGTCACTGTGAAGCATGCAAAAATTGTTTAAGGCGTTTAGATTACCCATCCATTCAATTTTTTGAATTTACAGTCGAAAATCCACACCTTGTTATGTGCCTGAGATCGGCCCTGCGGAAATTATATTCAGAAAGAAAATGTTTCTCTAAAGTGACATACTTCCCATGGATGGCATTCGAAATATCAAATGCTCGGTATTCAAATATTAAAAACTCGCTTCACGAGCATGTTTAGAGAAAGTTCTTAGATTCAATGAACTCAAAAGTTTTCCTTTCTTTTGTTTACTACATTTACTCAGATATTCGATTAGTCGAGTAATAGACAATTGATTAAAACTTGTGTTGTCAAAATAAGAAACATTTTGAAGACCAATGGTTTAATCCTAGTATTTATTCTTTGTGCATTGTTTGATTGATTCATTTGAAATGACTCAGCTTTATATAGGATGAATAAAAAACAGTAGGATATAAAGAAACAGTTATTTTTGGAACATTTCATTTCGAATAGTACGTTACCACACATTTTATTTTTTTGAGTGATAATTATCGATACTAGAAATTCGAATTTGAATGATTGAATAGCAAAACATGATCAGTTGCTGTATATCTGAAACAATTTCTTGTTTTTGTTTTATTTTGTGGTGTTTTTGAAGATCTCAAAGTACAATCCAGTGTCGTTTTCCACCCTGTGATCGAATACTGAGATTTTTAATATATTTGACTGAAACAGGTCATTCCTAATATTTTTCTGATATGGTGATTCCTCATTCTATATACAATTTTACTAATTGGTGATCTACTATATCTTAGAGATATGAATCGACTAAAATAGAATACTAATCGAATAGTGATGAATATATTAGACTGAAATGGATCATTCCTAGTATTTTTCTGGTACGAGATTCTTTATCCTATATACAATTCCACTAATTGGTGATCTACTATATCTTAGAGGTAGGATATGGATTGGCTAAAATAGAATACTGTAATTTTAAATGTATTAGAGTGAAATAGATCATTCTTAATATTTTTTCTGATAAATACTAATCGAATACTGATGAATATATTAGACTGAAATGGATCATTCCTAGTATTTTTCTGGTACGTGATTCTTTATCCTACATACAATTCCACTAATTGGTGATATACTATATCTTAGAGGTAGGATATGAATTGACTAAAATTGAATACTGTTCAAATATTGCGATTTTGAATATCCTAGACTGAAATAGACAATTTTTTGTGTAATATGATTTCCTATTCCATATATAATTCCAATAATTGGTGATCTACTATATCTCAGAGGTAGTATGTGAATTGTCAAAAATAGAGTTCTATGGCAATGTGTAAAATCTTACAAAAATTTTTAAGAGTGAATTATACTTACAGAATTGATATATTTTATTTTTTCTCGAATTTTTATCAGTTGAAGGTTTATAGTATTGGTAAATATAAACCTTTCATAATAATAATATTGACTTATGAGCTATTAGTTTCAACGTAACTTTATGGAGGTTATTTTCAATGTTGATTTTATTTCAGACACATTTTGTTATCATCACCAATTGATATGATTCTACTTTTCTAGTCGAAAATTGAAATACGAGTTTATTTCATTTATAAAGAGAACAGAACCAGTTATTGATCCTTGTGGAACACCACAAGTGATTTTCCCTTCAGAGCTCTGACGATTTTGATGAAATTGAGGACACGTAAGAATCGTTGTATTTGTGCCACGTGTCACTGTATAGGTGTCTGCAATATGCTGTGTAATGTCCGTTGTAAGTAGTCCCAGTGAGCATATCGATTATAACGACAAGGATCCATATTGTCTGCTGCATAACTGTTCATATCTGATCCTTCTAAAGAAAAGTCAACTTCAACATTCAATTCGTCTCTGAATCTTTCCATTGGAGATACTCTTTTCAAATGAATTACTAAAATACGGAGAACCTTGCACCTCGAACACGTTGGTTTTTCATCTCCATCCAGAGTTTCTTTCCTTCTGAAGGAATCCAAGCATTGTAACAAACTCAATTGGCCAGTTCTTTGTGGTTTGCACTCGATAGTGGATTTTGATTGACCAACGAAAAATGAAATCTCATAGTTGTACATCCTAAAACATCTCAGCCAGGACGCTTATGGCTTGGATGAGGGATTTGAAGCTGAACTGCTTGAAGCTGAATTGGATAGATACATGGCAAACCTTTTGAGTTTGGGCGAAGATGATAATTCTTGACTTGTTCATATTTCTCTGTAACTTCTAGTGGAAACTTATAGGTAATATCGCAAGAAATATGGGAGGTTTGTTGAGGAATCAATCTCTCAATATAACCGGGGTATGGATATGATTTGGAAAGATATTGTCTCTTTCAACTTTTTCACTTGTATATCTATATTGTTACTAACCTTTAACAACTTCCTTCAAACATACATTCTTCATCCTCCTATTCCTGGCTTCATTTTCGTCACAAACTTCCAGTCTCGGGGATCTCCCGTTGATGAAATTGGGATTGAAGTTCTGGTTGAAAGGTACTTGTCCACGGTTGAAGTTCGGGTCAAACTGCCTTTGATTGTTGAAGTTGGGATCATACTGCCGCTGGTTGTTCAAGTTGGGATTATATTGTCCTTGGTTGTAGTAGTTGGGGTCATTTCGTTGTCTGTCATAATTTTGTTGTAAGTTGTTGTACAGTGAATCGCCGCTTCTTCTGGATAAAATTTCCGATTGGTTGAACGTGTCTCTACATTGTGGGTCTATGTCGCTGGAGCAACTCCAACACTGAAGGGCAGTCGCTGGAATAAAATGTATTCAAGAGATATAAAGAACTGCAGACTTGAATAGTAATAATAATAATATTGTATGAAGGCTATTTTTCGGGTTTTCCGGCCGTGGTCTGCAAGTTTTTATGCCAGACGTTTCGTCTACTGCTGCGGTATGTGGTGATGTGGTGACGGTCGCAATACCCGAGCTGGTGCTCTGGTTCTTGTTCCTGTTGTATCCAACGCAATAACTACAATGCATTTTAATAAAAGCTGGCTACCAGTCCTTCGAGGTACACAAACACGAACAGTTTATACAATTAAGAACGATATAAGTAGAACGCCCAGTACGCCGCAGCACTAGATGAAACACTACTCTACTCTACTCTACTCTACTCTACTCTACTCTACTCTACTCTACTCTACTCTACTCTACTCTACTCTATTCTATTCTATTCTATGGAAAGATGCTCAGTCCAGAACTCCATCTCTGATGGAGCACCAACCCTACGAACATCTAACTAAAACTTCAACCTTACAAGATTTTCCATTCATCTCTAATTGGTGGTAGGTGTTCTGCGGTTTGGTCTCGAATGTCACGAAAAAAATAACAATGAACAATACGATGTGACGCTGCTCACGTAATGGAATCCGACAAATCCAAGGTTGAGCATGCCGTGGAAACAGGATCGTTTGAATAATTAGGTGATTATTTTTCAAGTCAGTCAGGTGTTATTACCGAACCATATATGAGATGACTGACGTGCTTCTGATAGTGCACTCAGAACAAGTGAAGATTGGAGACTTTTTATCATGTCACTCAATGAAAAGGTTTCTTGCAAATTGATTTTTCTGAAGGCTGGGTATTCAGAAGTGTAACAAAAGTAGAACACAACAACAAAAATTAAAGTTGAGAAGAAATGTGTATTGTTTTTGTTTGGAAATTGTAAATCTGAAGTGAGTTGAACATTGTTCAGAAAATGGAGTGAAATTTTGACAGTTGAAGGCAGGCGTTTTATTTTTAACTTGCGAACAGCCTGGGCTCCGCACGGGGGCAATGCTGATACAAAATATACATATAAACGCGTGCGATCGCTGTTAATCATTAAGTGATATGAGGCACCCCCCTCCCGGGTTGAGTGCTCTGAAGTAGAAGCTTCCCCCCCAGCTACTTAGCGAGGAGAACCTACTACACCACTCCATCCACCCCCGCCCTCCGAGCGGTCCTCAACTTACTGATGGGCACTTCAGCAAGATTGTCATCGTACCTCTTTTGGTCGAAAGTCAGCCTTTAGGTGCTATTCTTTCGCGATCGGTAAAAAATGTTTTGTCTAACTATTCCTAACTGAATTTTTGCATGGGGGCCCCCAAAAACTAACCGGCGGCTATTGGTGAGGCGAAGGGCAGCCTTGGACGCGCAATTTATAGGCACGCAACGCACGTTCCCCGGCCAGGAGCGCGTGCCTATCAGTCTGGCAATCAGTGGTGCCATCGGTGGTGTCATCAGTGCCACACAGTCAGCGGCCATGGGGATCCTTCTAGATCTACCTCCTCTCCACATTTTTCTGGAGAGAGAGGCTAGATGTACTACATACAGACTTGTGCACATTGTCAATTGTACAAATCAATTTAATGCAGAGTGCAACAGACTGTTGTGGTTGACGCTGAAAGTCACAGCATGCTTTTAATGACATCTGACTGTTAACTGTCAACTACGAACTGCCTTATTAAGTACTGTTCCCGAATAGAGAGGACTGGATTCTCCGGGAGAAGGAAATATTAGGAGCAGATAGTTGTTGGTTCACAGATGGATCAAAAACACCTTCCGGTTCTGGTGCAGGTGTTTTTAGGCGCACACCCAGGACATAGATATCTACCTGCGTAGGAACCTAACCTAACCTAACCTGACCTAACCTAATCTAACCTAAGCCCCGGCTGGTACCGCCGCAACCGCATTTTAAATCTGTAATATCTTCGAAAAATATTCATTTAAATTGAATGCTAAGAAGAGCCATATCGATCTATATTAAATGCATAATATATTCATGGTAATTAATCGGATGAGGATTATTGCTGTATTGCATATTCCAGCACATAATAATAGTGCAGTGTTGAATCAAATCAAATCAAATATGCTTTATTGTCCAAAGTATAAACTCGTTGACAAAGCTAATCATGTATAAATGAGTTTCACTATAATAACTATACATTATACATATACATTGGTTTAATGTATAGTAGGTATCGCGTCGCTAGAAACCAGTCCCTCCACTTTACTCTGAGGGTACGTCTCTGACTTGACGTGACGTCCAGCGTACAGTGTTGCCGCCGCCATACAATATACTTTTTTAGACTTTTGGCAGTTTCGAAATAGATGATTTTTTTATATCGACGTGACATCTAGTGTACAGTGTTGTAGTGTACAGTGTATCGCGTCGCTAGAAACCAGCCCCTCCACTTTACTCTGACTGTACGTCTCTGACTTTACGTGACGTCCAGCGTACAGTGTTGCCGCCGCCATACAATATAATAAATACAACATTTTTATGTCATACTGACATATGGTTACGATTTTTAGTGCACAGCTAAAACAATTATAGATAAATAAATGAAAATGCATATATAAACGCACATAAATACCACACACATACATATTTATATACATCCTAAATGAACGAATAGTCAGACATTAACAGGTAAATAAGGAAGTCAATAGATAAAATATATAAATAATGCAGGAGCTATTAAAATCAACATAAGCAGTGCTTGAACAGGGAATAATTTTATTTCAGAATTCCATCCATATCTTTATCAAAGTACTCTTGAACACTATAAAACACCTGGTCAGTGAGAACTTGCTTTACAGATTTCCAGTACGATGAATTTCGAATATTCATCTTAGTCATAACACTTGCAATTTACTGTCATTATTTTTTACTAAAGCTGTAAACAAATACGTCACACATTTCTCTGATTAGTAGTTAGTAAATAACTGACTCATCTTTCATTATTCACTGCGAATATAAAAAATATGTGAAATTCTGAAACGTTTCAGGCTCATTCGTTCTACAGGCTGGGATAAACATATCTTTGGGCTAGTCATGCATTTTCTGCAGTTTTCAAAGAATGAAAACTTGGTTATAGTAATGAGTTAGCACTTCTATATATGCTCAACGAATGTTGAATTTGAAGAAATGATTCAATTCGTAAAAGAAATGAAGATCTTTCTCATAACCGCTGTCGTGGATCAATTCAGAAGTCCGATTGTTTGTACATGACTGGCATGTTGTCGAATCACCTTCATTAAAAATATATTGTTACGAAACGACATCATAGTATTGTTATGGTCAATATTTTTCTGTGAACTTCCCACAGCTAATTTAATAACTGTTTTTTTAATGCCATTTCATTCGTCAAGAATGGTATAACAAGATTTGTATTTTTTCAAACGTATGACAAATTTTCCACGAGGATTTCTTGAATTCTGTAAAAATAATTTATAAAACACAAAAATAACATAGGTACTGAATATTCTCAAGTAGTGTGGAATGCTTGAACGGATTCATTTACAAATTAGGCAACTCAAATTGAAGTAGAAGAAAATCACAAAACATTCGCAATATCCTGTATGAAAACTAATAATGATCAGAGCATTATGCTGCGTAACTTCACGAGACAAAATTTAGGTATTTGAAGAAACATCTCAACTGTAGGTTTTCCATTTAGAGTCTATATTACTCCCTATCTTTTCGCAAACAGCTACAAAACAGTTTTAAGAACATATCGGCAGTTACTAACTCAAAAAATATTTTTGTAAAGATACTCATAAAATAATCGAAATACAATTTCATAAGAGTTTTTTAGTAGTTTCAAGTGAGCGTTCTAAAATATAATACAGCCTAAAACGATAACGATAAATAGATATGTCACTAACAAATAGAAAAGTTGAAGCCATTTTATTAATTTCATTTCTGTACTTATAAAACCGTTAAGTTTGTGCTTCAAAGATTGATATTTGAAATGCAAATTGAATTTTACTGACAAATATGTAGCCTATTATTAGCAAAATTTAGGCGAACCATTCTTCCACTAATGTTTTTGGAAAAAATATTGATTATATAAAAATTCACTGTGTCACCCAGTCAAAAACTCAACGCAGATTCTTATGAATAATATAATCTTATAATATCAATGTACTTTTCAGCTGTAAATATTACTATACTAGTTGTTGCCCGCGGCTTCGCCCGCGTAGAATTTGATAGTTGTAGTACTAATTAGTACTATCAACGAACTTAGACGTGCGCAGCGTTATAGAACAGTGCTTTCAAAAATTGTTCTACAGCGCCATCTACTGGCGAGTTACAGAAAAATTGATAGCCTAAAAACCTTCTCTATAAAAAATTACTTACACACGTCAAGTTTCATCACGATCGGTTGAGCGATTTATCACTTACCAACCAACAAACATCCATTTTTATATATTAGATTATGTGCTTGTATGAAGTACTAGGTTACGTGGGTCTTTGTCTAGAATGAACCACTTTTCTTATTTTTTTACAATGACCAATATTATCGGGACGATAGTCAAATGAAATTGACAACATACACATTACACGACCTCTGAAGCTAATGTTAGGTTAGGTCTAAAGTGAGTGGATCTTTTCGACCCTTCACTGCAACCCGCAAGGGTTTATTGTGGCTCACACCTATTCACACTCGGCCAAATAAACCCAGCTTCTCAACAAAGCAGATTAGTTTGTATGGTGAGTGGTCACTTTATTCTTGGCGACAGCAAATATATATTCGCGAAAGCAATTTGATTTTATAGCAGTTACTTCATTGTTCTGGAATTGTAGTAAATATACCATACTATAAAATAGTTGGAAAATTATCATTGAAGTGACAATATGGTAATGAAAACAAAATTGTGTTAGAAAGCATTCCAATAAAAAGATTTCATCAAAGCTACAGGAAGCAGTTATGAAATAAGATTGGAAAATTTTTATAAAGACATATTTCGCAAAAAGTCTTAT